CTTCTTGTGTTGGGTTGACCCAGGCTGGACCCCAGGTACCCACACCAACCTGCTCTATCATTCCCCCTCAACTGGACAGAGGGAAAGAAAATATAATGAAAGGCACATGGGTTGAGATGAGGACAGGGAGATCACTCAGCAATTACCATCATGGGCAAAACAGACTCGACTCGGGGAAATTAATTTAATTTATTGTTAATCAAATCAGAGTATGACAATAAGGAAAAAAGATCGAATCTTAAAGCACCTTCCCCCTAACCCTTCTTCTTCCCAGGCTCAACCTCACTCCTGATTTTTCTACCTCCCCTCCTCGAGTGGCACATGGGGATAGGGAATGGGGATTGAGGTCTGTTCATCACACGTCGTCTCTGTCTCTCCCTCCTCACTCTCTTCCCCTGCTCCAGCGTGGAGTCTCTCCCACAGGAGAAAGTCCTCCACCAACTACTCCAATATGAGTCTTTCCCACAAGTTGCAGTTCTTCACAACCCATTCCAGTGTGGGTTCTTCCCACAGGGTGCAGTCACACAGAATCACAGAATCTTCTAGGTTGGAAGGGACCTTAAAGATCATCTTGTCCAACCGTCAACCTGACTGACAAAAATAGAACAACAAACAAAGAGCATCATCACTAAACCATACCTCCCAGCACTACATCAACCCGTCTTTTGAACACCTCCAGGGATGGTGCCTCAACCACCTCCCTGGGCAGCCCATTCCAATGTCTGAAGTCCTTCAGGAACAGTGCTTCAGCGTGAGTCCCCCACGGGGTCACAAGTCCTGCCAGTTGAGGTCTGTTCATCACACGTCATCTCTGTCTCTCCCTCCTCACTCTCTTCCCCTGCTCCAGCGTGGAGTCTCTCCCACAGGAGAAAGTCCTCCACCAACTACTCCAATATGAGTCTTTCCCACAAGTTGCAGTTCTTCACAACCCATTCCAGTGTGGGTTCTTCCCACAGGGTGCAATCCTCCAGTAACAGACTGCTCCAGCCTGAGTCCCCCACAGGGTCACAAGTCCTGCCAGCAAACCTGCTCCAGCATGGGCTCCTCTCTCCATAGGGCCACAGGTCCTTCTAGGAGCCTGCTCCAGCACAGGCTCTCCACAGGGTCACAGCCTCCTTTCAGCATCCACCTGCTCTGGTGTGGGGTCCTCCACAGGCTACAGGTGGATATCTGCTCCACCATGGTCCTCCATGGGTTGCCAGGAGACAGCTTGCTTCACCATGGTCTTCACCACAGGCTGCAGGGGAATCTCTGCCCTGGTGCCTGGAGCACCTCTTCTCCCTCCTCTTCACTGACCGTGGTGTCTGCAGAGTTGTTGCTCTCACATATTCTCACTCTTCTCTTCCAGTTGCTGCTGTACAGCAGTTTTTTCCCCCTTATAAATATGTTGGAGGCAGCTTACTTCACCATGGTCTTCACCACAGGCTGCAGGGGAATCTCTGCCCTGGTGCCTGGAGCACCTCTTCTCCCTCCTCTTCACTGAGCATGGTGTCTGCAGAGTTGTTGCTCTCACATATTCTCACTCTTCTCTTCCAGTTGCTGCTGTACAGCAGTTTTTTCCCCCTGCTCCAGCGTGGAGTCTCTCCCACAGGAGAAAGTCCTCCACCAACTACTCCAATATGAGTCTTTCCCACAAGTTGCAGTTCTTCACAACCCATTCCAGTGTGGGTTCTTCCCACAGGGTGCAATCCTCCAGTAACAGACTGCTCCAGCCTGAGTCCCCCACAGGGTCACAAGTCCTGCCAGCAAACCTGCTCCAGCATGGGCTCCTCTCTCCATAGGGCCACAGGTCCTTCTAGGAGCCTGCTCCAGCACAGGCTCTCCACAGGGTCACAGCCTCCTTTCAGCATCCACCTGCTCTGGTGTGGGGTCCTCCACAGGCTACAGGTGGATATCTGCTCCACCATGGTCCTCCATGGGTTGCCAGGAGACAGCTTGCTTCACCATGGTCTTCACCACAGGCTGCAGGGGAATCTCTGCCCTGGTGCCTGGAGCACCTCTTCTCCCTCCTCTTCACTGGCCGTGGTGTCTGCAGAGTTGTTGCTCTCACATATTCTCACTCTTCTCTTCCAGTTGCTGCTGTACAGCAGTTTTTTCCCCCTTATAAATATGTTATCACAGAGGTGTTACCACCATCGCTGATTAGCTCGGCCTTGGCCAGCAGCAGGTCCATATTGGAGCCAGCTGGCATTCGTTCTATCAGACCCAGGGGAAGCTTCTAGAAGGTTCTCACAGAAGCCACCCCTGTAATCCCCCTGCTACCAAAACCTTGCCACACAAACCCAATACACTCCTGCACATAATATGATGTTTAAATTGTCAAAATTGTACCACCATAAAATGAGATGCTGTAGCAACAAACGATCTGTAGAATCATGATTCCACGCAAACTTGTATAATTGTTTTTGAAACGTACATATGGGTTTGTTTACTAGTGCAGTGATCATAAAGAAACGATTAAAATTAAATTCTGGATTAAGCTAATTAGAAGATGTACCACCAGCCACGCTTCTAAAGAAAGCTCTAAGTTGCAAGTCTTACTTGCTTTGGGCAACACTTAGTCTGACTTTCTCTATTGTTAAAGAGGCTCATTCTGTATTTCAGACCACCAATGATCTGGTTGCTGCTATTTGTTGTATAACATGATTACTTCCCCCATTCATCTAAAAACAATGTATTTCAAGGAAAGAAATCCAGGTCTAGACTATGCCTGAGTGTGGTAATGACCATATTTCACCCACTACATTGCACAGGTTCAGCTGCTTCCTAGTAAATGACCATGTATGTTCTGAGTTCCCCTATGCACAAATATAGCAGACAAAATCCCCCAGCAAATAAAACTGAAATAAATAAAATCAAGATTCTAATCTGTAGTTGCTGCTAGAGAATCAGAGAAATTGGATTCAGTGGTTAAAAATTTTTACAGCAAGCTCTCTAAAGTGACCACCAATGATCTGGTTGCTGCTATTTGTTGTATAACATGATTACTTCCCCCATTCATCTAAAAACAATGTATTTCAAGGAAAGAAATCCAGGTCTAGACTATGCCTGAGTGTGGTAATGACCATATTTCACCCACTACATTGCACAGGTTCAGCTGCTTCCTAGTAAATGACCATGTATGTTCTGAGTTCCCCTATGCACAAATATAGCAGACAAAATCCCACAGCAAATAAAACTGAAATAAATAAAATCAAGATTCTAATCTGTAGTTGCTGCTAGAGAATCAGAGAAATTGGATTCAGTGGTTAAAAATTTTTACAGCAAGCTCTCTAAAGTGATACATTTTTGCCTCTAGTTAATGTAAAAATAAAATGTATATAAATGTATAAATGTACAGATAAACATGCCATATTTGCTCAGACTGAAAAGTGCAGCCCTGGATTTTAAAGTCAGGAAAATGTATGTTGAACTCTTAAGGCCACCTAAGCTTTTGTTCCTATGCCTCCTTTTTCCCTTCAAAGTACCTCAGTGATCGCATTTTCACCCACAACCTTTTCCTTATTCACATAAAACTGCTAAAAGTAAAAAAGAAGAGAGATATTATGAACCTAAAACTTTTTGGTTCTTTCCAACAAATCCAGGTGCCCATCAGCTGTCTGAGTCAGATGCTAGACAGATGAAGGTTGAAGAAAAATAGCATTGAAAGCGGAGCAGTGGGTACTTCCCATCAGACAGCTTCTTCTCAACTTGTCAACAAGGTTCACCACTGACAGCTGCAGTTCTGGTGGATGACTTCTTCATTATTGTCTCTAGTTCTCCTACAGAAATAGATTCTAGGAGTCTACACTTTATCTGATTTGAGGTCAGGTCATAGTCAGAAGAGATATGCCCTCACTGCATACTGGTTAGATTAGTACCATACAATTTACCTGAAATCTTAAAAATATTATCCCTGACCTAATATAAAGGATTTAGAACTTAACAAAGTACCTATGACTGGGAAGAAAGTGTTTCAAAGAGCATAAATCAGTCATGTCAGTAGCTAATTACCCAAGAATTTAAAATGGCATACGTCAAAAAAGTCAAGTTGTTATTCATAATCTTGCAAACTCTGTTCATTACAAAGCTTAGCAAGAAGGTGAGGTTTTATCTATGTTTAAGAGAACAGTTCTAGTCTTCCCTACAATAAGAGGCGAGGCTGAAGAGCCTGAAAAAAGTGAGGCTTACAGTAAAAAAAACCAAACAAAAACAACAAACCATCAAAATTCATATTTGTACAGCAACATTCAGTGTATTTCATTAAAACACTAAATTAAAAACTAAAAACATAATTTTAGTTGCATGTAGTTACATGAGTTTATTTTGAACTCTCACCAATTCTGTAATACCTAATTCTGTAACACCAAGTGCAGCACAAGAATAGCTAGGACAGCGATGAATAGTTATTTTGGCATTGGAACTTCTTCCCTGTGGGTAGGGTGGGGGAAGAGGTCACACAGTTGTCAGTGGTTCCCCTTCCACAGCCACCAGGATCCTGCGACATCATTTAGGAGATGTGCCAGGACTACCTTGCTCAGGTGGTAGCGTTCACCACCCTACAGCCCAGCATGGCTCCTACTCTACCTCCTGACTCCTCCTTAGTCAAAGTCCTTCTTACCCCAACTGCCTAATAATCTCAGCACCTACTTCCCTCGTGCTCCATACCCTACATTTTAACCATCTCTGGGCCTGCTAACCTCCTCCCATCCACCTACCACCAGCACATTTATGTTTTTTTCCTATCCATCCCCATGCACAGGCCCACAAATGTCCTTCCTCGCATCTATTGTTGCTAGAGATGCTCTTTGGTAATAGAGGTAGCACTGGCAACAAGGTGCTCCTACGCTACTTTATGCTGAGAGCACTTTTTAACCACCCCACAGGCAACTGGGATGGTGTCTCCCTATTAACAACGTTAGAGCACAGTGTGAAGTGTCAGTATTTGCACTGTGTTATCACCCTAGCTAATGATTTTAACGTCAAGGTAAGAGGAGAGCAGCAGATGCTGGACTACTTGCCTCCATTTTTCCCCACCGTTCGGAAACACCTCCAGAAGGTCCGAAGAAAAGAGGCCCTGTTGTGAGGGGTGGCTTGAACAAAGCTGAACTCACGGAACAAGATGTGTGTTCCTTGACGCACGCTGTTAAAGCTGTGGAGATAAAGTCAAAACAAGAGAACGTTAGAAAGCTGAACCAATATGAATATTCTGGGGCCAGCTGGAACAGTAGCAAGAAAACCACTGGCAGTTACATTTTGTGAAACCGAATCTCCAAAGCTCATACCCATCTGTTCTCTAGAGAGAAGACTATTTGCAAAAACCACACATTGGAACTTAATTATAGGAATTAGAGGTTTGTGAAAGAAAAATTCATTCTAAAGAATCCCAGCAAGGGGTGTCCAAGAGCCACTTATTTGAAACCAATCCATTGGAAAATGACTGGCTAAGAGTAACTATTGTTTATCTGACCAGAAGATGCCCTTTCTTTTAGTACCATCTGAACTTCACTGCTATTCTCATCACAGTTTTCCGCGAAGCCACAAAACAAAGAAAAGAAAAAAACCCTCTTTAACAGAAGCCTCAAGATTTCATTTCTAGGTTACTGAAATGTGACTCTGTTGGATGTATAAAATCCACTCCAGTTGTCCCGAGAAGCCGATTGACACTTCACCAAACAACACTTTGCACTAGTGTATTTTGAAAAGAGCAGCCGGTCATTATGCTAGATAATCAATTTGATATTCACTCTCTTGAATTTTAGTACAAATTTCTCATATTTGAGTTGTAAGCACTTTAGGCTAACATTAAAGTAAACATTTATCTTAAAAAGATTTCTCTGAAGTGCCAGCAGCTCTCCTTTGGGCATGGTAAAGCTCAACATACAAGAACAATAGAAATGCAAATAAAAACATTATATACCAAAAGGTATAATGACAGGGTTGCCTCAAAGCTAGAATTTGTGCATTTTACTCTGCATCGTGCAAGTGGGACAAAGCTTTCAAACACTCCAGAGAGATCATTAAAAACATTCACTTGGGACAGCAGCTTAACTCCCCTGCATAGGGGAGAATTAATGAAAAGATATAAGTTTACTTTCATCCCAGCAGAACCTCTCCATAGGTAGCATCTCCACAACAGACAAAATCCAGTGGTCAGCGTGAACCCTCTGAAGTTTGCAATTTTAAATAATCTCTTTAAATATAAACAGTTTAAGTCTCTTTATCCTTCATAGTATAGAAAAGAGCCTCACATTTGAAAGAGAATTATACCCGAGTTGAGCAAAATTAAAAAGTCACATAACAACTAGGGGGAGTATGGGGGTGTAGAGAGAAGCCAATTCGATTTTTCAGAAAAGATCACAATTTCTGTTTTTTAATGTCCTGGTTCTCAAAGACACGGGAGTAAACGGAATTTTTTGTCATGTGTTAAAAGCTAGGTACAGAACACTGTTTCCAGCCCTCCTATCCACAAGGAAAGGCAACTCAAATGAAAGAAGTACAATTCATTTATGATTAAGAAACACTCATGACTCTTGAATCCTGGAATTAGGAATATTCTTTCTGTAACTGTCATGGACAAATATATTGTTTTACATTTATGAAACTTTATTCATGCACCAGCTCTGTACAAACCAGAGGAAAGCACAGCCATTCTCCCAAGAGATTAAAGTAAATAAATAAAGCATGTGCCTGATCAAAATATGCTAAAATGACAGGAAAGGGCTCCCATGACTATCATTCTAAATAAAGAGTATTCATTATAAAGTGCTGTAGCTCACTGCCTTAGAGTGAATGAGCTCAGAGTAAGGGAAAGTAACTTGCATAAAGTCCCACCAGATGTCTGTGACAAAGCTGGAGATGGGATTTCACATCTTCTCATCCCATCCAAAAGTCTTTAAGACTTTTCTCATTTCCTCTTTGCATTGTTTTGCTGATAATTTGACAGGCTGATGAAGAAAAGAGGGATACGAACGAAAGAGAAGAAACTCAGCGTAATAGGAGAAGGCAGCTTTCAGAAAGATAATACACATAAGGGAGGTGTTTAGGAAGAGAAAGAAGAGGAAGGCACAGTGACACGAGCAAATGCACCACATTATGTTGCTCAGAACAAGTACAGCACATGCAACATCTGGAAGTGGATCCTGGCACACCTGTAATGGGAAGGACCAGACACAAAGTTAACATATTATTAATTCACAGCAAATACCCCTACTATATTACTCCTTAGTTCTAGTTAAGTGAAAATTCAAGTCACTTGCATTTACAGCATGGGATGGCTCTAAATCCAGCAGGCAGAAGGCTATGATATCATTTGTTGTTGCTTATTCAGTTAAAAGAGTGGGTGGATATGCTGGAACATCAGCACACCTGGATGTGCTGACAGCCAAGTGCCGCCAGCTAGCTGAGTAAAAGAGGCACAATATTTCTTTCATTCCTCATTTCTTGCAATAAGTTTTTGTTTAACTATACAATAGAAGGATTTTCCCCAAAAGCTCAAGTCCGTGAACACGGAAGTCAGAATTTTATTCCAGTTAAGATGCTGCATTTCAGAGACACTACTTGATAAATACCTTTTTATAAGTTGTAAAAGTTCAGCCCATGATGGAGCCATCCAGCAAGAAGCCCAATGACAAATCAACACATCTATTCTCAGCCAGGGTCAATACCACTAAAAGAGATAGGAACACTATACATTTTGAACAAACTATGCATTTTGAAATCCCTTTATCATGGGTAAGTGGACAGCACAAAGATAACCTGGCCACTTTTTCCTTAACAATTGTCCAGAGGTGAAGTTACTGTTAATGTGGTGAGTAGTAACGGCTTACAGGTAAACCCTTCTGGAAAAAAAAGAAACAGTGACAACCCAAAGCTGTTGCAGGGATTCCAACAGCAGGTAAGAAGTATCACCAGTGCCTTACTTACTGATTTTTATATACATGCGAACAGATGTCTTTTCCAGTTTGTTTTGAACGCAAAAACAAAACAAGCTGCAAATTCTAAGAGCTTAAGTAAGCAAGACATCAAGAGCAAGGCAACAAACTTAGCTCAAGCATCCTCAGCAAGTTTAACAGCTGCTGAGATTCTGCCCTTCGGATTGCTCGGTCTTCCCTCTATCGGTCCTCCTCTCACTGAACATCTCATGCCCTTAGCAAAGTTTGGTGGCCAGAGCTTATCAGCACATTTGCAGGAGAAAGACTTAGAAACAAGCTAGGGTATCTCAAGAAGGTACTAGTCTGTCCTCAATCATTTAGAAATAGGTTTGTGAATGAGAAGCAGGGAAAATAGTTTTTCACTTCTCTGGTTAACTTCTTCTTTCCTCCTTTTAGGCGTTTAGTGCAGCCATCTGCAAGAGTTCCCTTCAAGAAAAAAAGCTTTACACAACTCTGCAAGTCTCCAAGCCTCCAATTGTAGACCTAATGGTTGCCCTGGCTCTCTACGTTACCAGTAAATAGAGTAGGCAAATTAGAATACTAACAAAAGCTACTAATGATGTGGGTTTATTTATCTTGCTGAAACTGAGACCAGAAATTGAACTGAATGTTCATTAGTTCACACCAGTTCACTGCAAACACTCACATTTCACACAAGAACTGTTGCACAACTGGCTACGCCGTTAACAAAATGGCTTTTTCCTGTTCACTTGTGAGAATATTCTGGAGAAAAAATAAAGTAAGGTGTTCACTCCACGGGAAGATCTAAAGAAACTTTCACAGTAGGGCCCCTTCACTTGTGAGAATATTTTGGAGAAAGACGAGAGAAAAATAAAGTAAGGTGCTCACTCCATGGGAAGATCTAAAGAAACTTTCACAGTAGGGACTTCAAAATGCGTACTTTTTTATTCCTTTCTGTTACAGGCCCCAGAGCAGCCAAACCACAGAGCAGTTTCTTCCAACGCCACTGCTGAGGAGGTTGCGTCTTGCAGCACACCCAGCCTACGCTTGTGGGATGGCACGTGCATGGGAGAGGAAGGAAAAAAAAAGAAGTTTTGGGAGGATACTGAGATAAAACATCCCCAGCCCTCAGAAATGGCTGCGCTGGGAACTCTAGCACTCAGGTGCTGCTGCTCTGAACAGAGCTGCTTTCAGTAAGGCTTTGTCTTTTGTGTAATTACATTTCGGCAGCTTGCCAGAGTTCAGAAACTTTCAAGCACTCTTTTCAAACCTTTGGACTTCCAAATAGATTGTAAAAGCCCCGGGATGCTATGGTAACATCCCAATTGAAACCCACTACAGTAGTTAGCCTCTGCCTGCTGAACTCGGGCAAAGCCAAATATGCACAAAGCAGAAAGAGCCCCAAGTCCCCAAGAAGAAGAGAAGAGCTTGCCAGGCCCCTGCTGTCCCCCTAGCAGGTGCCACCTTTGGTTACCATGCAAAGAGCTGAACGAGTTCACAGGACTCCTCCTCTACGAAATGGAAAGCAAGGAACAAGAACTGTTATTCCTTAAATTCCTTTCCGTTACAGGCCCCAGAGCAGCCAAACCACAGAGCAGCCTTTTCCAATGCCACTGCTGAGAAGGTTGTGTCTTGCAGCACACCCAGCCTACGCTTGTGGGATGGCACGTGCATGGGAGAGGAAGGAAAAAAAAAGAAGTTTTGGGAGGATACTGAGATAAAACATCCCCAGCCCTCAGAAATGGCTGCGCTGGGAACTCTAGCACTCAGGTGCTGCTGCTCTGAACAGAGCTGCTTTCAGTAAGGCTTTGTCTTTTGTGTAATTACATTTCGGCAGCTTGCCAGAGTTCAGAAACTTTCAAGCACTCTTTTCAAACCTTTGGACTTCCAAATAGATTGTAAAAGCCCCGGGATGCTATGGTAACATCCCAATTGAAACCCACTACAGTAGTTAGCCTCTGCCTGCTGAACTCGGGCAAAGCCAAATATGCACAAAGCAGAAAGAGCCCCAAGTCCCCAAGAAGAAGAGAAGAGCTTGCCAGGCCCCTGCTGTCCCCCTAGCAGGTGCCACCTTTGGTTACCATGCAAAGAGCTGAACGAGTTCACAGGACTCCTCCTCTACGAAATGGAAAGCAAGGAACAAGAACTGTTATTCCTTAACTTACAGCATTACTGCTTGCATTTTCCATTGGGAGCATGATGAAGGAAGAAAAACCCACTTTGAAGGCTCATGCTGCTTCTCCAGCACAAACAATTT